AGCCTTAGATATATCTAGTAAATTATCGATATCACCCTCTTAGGCGATAGCGATTTTATTTAAAATAAAACGATTATAGATATATGAATTATGATATTATAGATTCTTATGGAGTAGCTTATAGCCCCGTATATTCGAATTGGCCTTTAGCCTTTTAGATATCGATTTGAGGGCGTTAATATAGGGATTAATACTTCTAAGATTTATAGCTATTTTACGATAAAGTGTCTAATTAATACGATTATAGTAGCTATACCTAGTAAAGTTAGTATAGGAAACGCGGTCGGAAGAAAGTTATATCGTATTATGGACTAATCTTAGATATTATTTATAATATAGATTTGACTAAAGACCGATTTTTCGCTCTCTGGAGGCGCTAGGGTAGGTATATAAGTAGTAATCGCTCTCTGGATTTTACACGTGTAGGGGGCGATTGAATGATTGATAGTAATCTGCTGTAAGGCTATAGAGGTTGTATTATTATACTAAACGCTATAGCGACGAAATTCTTTACTATTATTAATAAGATTTAAGATCTCTAACGTTAAAGAGTGAAGGATTTAATTAATAATATACTCGCTAAGATTAATCGAATTGTTTATACTCGTTTTAACGCCCTTATAACCTTATTTTATATCGTCTATCTCGTCTATTTTAGGTGTATCGACTTTAGTCTTTTCGCTATCGTAGTATTACTCGGCTATCTTATCTTTTTATAACGCCGTATTATAGCGGTTGTAAATCTAGTCTATAGAACTTAAATTATGCTATGTAGGCTCTATAGTATATGAGTGACGCGCGGTGTAGCTGGTGAGCCTTATTGAAGACTGAGTAGAATCTATATAAGGGCTAAAAGGTGGGCTGAAAGGACGTAAGCTATCGAAAGGGTCGTTGTTAAAGAAGTTTGGTGGTAGGTCTCGCAATAGAGGGTCTTTAACAGCGTCTTTCTCTCGTTTAGGAGCTTCTTCTTGACGATATTTAGAATCTAATACGCGTTGAGAGGCTTTAAAATAGGGTAATGAAGAACGAATAGGGGAGGAAGACGCGTCTTGGAAGGTAGTATCGCTAGGTTAAAAGGCATTATCGCTGGCTTGAAAGGAGTATATAGGGGAGGACGTATCCGTTCGAGCTCTTTTAAAGAGCCTTTTAGCGCGTTTATGAGTAGTAGTAAATAGCTGTTAGGCTCGCTTACGGCCTCGATTACTAATAATAGCGAATTCGCCGAGGAATAGCCTAAGGGCGTTAATAAGGGGTTTAAAAAACGGGCGGAAGGGATATATACCTTAGATATTTAGTAATATTTAAGCGGGGAATATTAAGGGCGAATTTATTTATAATTAATAGATTAATAGAATTATAGAAGAAGAATAATTATATAAATAGGTGGAAGGATTATTATTCGATTTCGAACGCGTCTGATATATAACTATTATAACTATCATATTTGAATATTTATTTCATTTACCAATAGTAGGCTAAACTTCATTATTTTTACAGCGTTAGAAAGCGTATATCGAACTCTATAATTTATGAAATTATGAAGAAATAGTATTCATAGAAAGCTGGTTATTTTAGAGTATAAAACTTCTATATATAAATTTTTAATAAGGAAGCTCGGAAGGGCTAGCGGATTAACTTAGTCAGTCTAGTCAAAAGGCGTAATAACCTCGAATTAATGATTGGCTGCATATATAAATTTAAGATTTCCAAGCTCAGCCCTATCTTATTCTTTTATATATACTAATAGTAATTTAAAATATAAGATATCGCTTAGTATAATTAAAAGAATTAAGAGTAGATATAGATATAATAGATTATTAAATAATTACCTTAGATATTATTTCTTAATTTATTATTTCTTTACTATTTAAGATATTAAGAGTCTCTCTAATTTCGCGAAGGCCTAACGAAGATTTCGATTTAATTTAATATACGTTTAAGCCACTTAATCTCGAATCTCTACTATTATTTATATTTTTTAGAAAATTAATAGAAACTTCTTTCTCTATTTAAAAATCGCGTATATCTTTAATTTCTTCGATTTATAATAACGATATAATATCCGATATAAGCCTTTTATAATTCTTCTTATTATTATTATCGCTAGATACGATCTTAATACTACTCTAAATAAAGGTATTACTAAGATCGTTATTATTCTAGCGAGTAAAGGCGATATTTACTTATATAAAGTTATAGGCTATTAGAAACGAAGTTAGAGTTATTAATTAAACTCTTTTACGATTCTTATAAAAATAGATATTTATAAACTATTCGAATCGATTATTTTAAGGGTTATAAATTCGATACTAAGTAGATAAATAATAATTAATATATATACTCTAATAGGCTATAATATATAGCTTACTTTCTCATTTCTCTTTTAATAAATAAACTAAGTATAGATAATCGAAGACTTTTTCGTAATTTAGATTTAATTTCTTATTAAATTATAGTTTATAGAATAACTTACTTCCTCTACTATTATATAATAATCTATTTTTTAAATAATTTATATAGATTACGATCTCTAATTAGAAGCTTATAAGTAAGTCTAACTAACTAAGTATAAATCTTATAAACTTAATTAACGTTTTATTAAATCGTTCTGCGATACTATTCTAATATAGAATATAGATAATTATAAATTCTATAGTAATACCTCGTTTTTTAAGTATATTCTCGACTAACTTATACTCTAATATATTATTAATTCTAACTAATATTACTTCTCTTATTTTAATTATTTTATTAATTATAATTATATTTCTAAGAATAAAGATATAGATCTATTTCTTTAATATAATAAGCTCGAGGTTTAATTAATTAATAGCCTTATCGATAAGAAATATAAATTACTTACTATCTTTTATAATACTAATTACGAGATATAATCCTTAAAAATTAATATATATTCGAGCTTCTAGTACTATTTTCTTTAGCCTAGAGTCCTTATTAATCTATTAAACTATTTTCGTGAAGTTATATATATTATATTAAAATTCTTTCGATAATTTTATTTCCTCTATACCTCTTATATAGAGATATAGATTCTTTAGACGATACGCTTTAATATAGTCTAATCGTTAATATATTAATCGAAAATAATCGACTTATTCTTATTTTATAGCTGCAGATATACTTTTAATAGGAAATCTCGACTTTCTAAAAGCGAATACTCTATTAGATATCGATTTAATTAACTAATATAAGTTATTTCTCATATAACCTCTTATTATCATCTCGTCTATAAATATATTAATAATTCTAATATATAGATTTTCGAATTATATCTTAAAACCCTTTCGATCTAGTACTATAATAGATAGTAGATTATTATCTATTCTCGAAATATATAGAGTATCTATTATAATCTATATATAATTACCTATATAAATTCGAATAATTTCTCTATCTATCGCTATCAACTCGCCTTAATTATCGAATTCTACTTCTTTTAAATAAGACTATAAGTTAATAAATAGTTTCTTATTTAATATTATATAGCGAGTCGCTTCGGAGTTTATTAGCTAGCTACTATCTCCTAAAAAGTCTATTATTATAAAGAAATTTTTTATTAATAATATACTATTTATAGGCTCTAGCTTTTCCCTAGCTATTTATAAGTCTTTCTTTTAACTATATATATCGCTTATATCGCTAATATTACTATCGCTATCTAATTTATTTACTATTATTATAATATAATCTAAGCGTTCTTACTTATTATTTTTAAATATCTTTAAACTCTTTAATCGATTCTTTAATTTACAATTTTATCTATTTAAATCCTTCGCTCCATAATTCTTATTCTTTTTATCCTTCTTATTCGAATATTTTCTCTCGTAATACCCGATTTTCCTATAGTTATAGTATTCTATCTTACTTATATCTCTAGAAAATCTTTAATCTAACTAGCTCTTTCGTTTATTACATACAAGTAAGCTTTTATTCTTAGTTTATCTATCTTACTCTACGGTTCGTAAATATTCCACAGCTATTTTAATAGTGAGATGCCATGTCTTCACAGACTTCAAGAAAGCCGATACACGGTAAAAGGGATCATAAACTCTTGGTTGACGCACACACACCGAACAAAGAAAAGAGCATGGTCGATGGAACTTCGATCCGGGATGCAACGGCGCACTCCGGCTTGCTGTAAGCAGCTCTCGCGAGTCACGTCTGACAGCGGGATTCTCCCATCATTAGGAGAGCGTATTGCTTCCGATAATCATTTCGATTATTCTCTTACTTTCTTGCCTCGCGTGTCCGGACGTTGGTCTACATTTTCATCAGGAGTTATTCATAGGAATCACATCTAGCAACATACCTCTGTGATGACTGGCCTCGTCTCAAGGGTTCTTGGCGCTTTAGCCAAGACGTTCTCGTACTATCCGTTAAATACTCGGCTATCTCAGCCAATCACAACGCTCATTAAGCGAAAGTTGATGTGAGTGCCACCAAGCGCAAAATGTTGACTTTTTAGGGGAAACTCGGTGGACAGGGTCAACCTCTTCTGGCATCGCACCTGAAATGGAGGGTTTTAACAACCAGTTCCCTTGCAGGTCGACGAATGTTTTTAGGAAAAGTGCGTGGGCAGGGTCACTTTTTTCTGGCTGGACCGTAGGATTTCATTCAGGACTTCCGCCCCTATGCATGACTTTTGCCACATTCACTTGTCTTCTACTGAATGCTACTACTGCAAACTTATGCCCATGAGAAGGGCGTTAGTGCCCCATAAATAAGCGTATATCTCATTGGTATCCTCTTTAACTATGGGAGTCGGGTATTCACTGGTGTGACGCAACACTCATGATCGGGACGGGGACACATGGTACGAGTGCAATCAGTGCAGCATGATATTCAACAGACTGCTGTGACTGGTATTCTATCTCGCATGCTTGTACCCCACAAATCAACACTGCTGTTTCACTGCCATCCATCTAGTCTTCCGAGAGCCTTGACGATTTCCCTAGTTCTTGGCAGAAGTTGTCTTATGATCATCGTACCTGTATCCCGTCATGTTAGCTTGAGTCCGTAGATCTGTTCTAACTCCGGGCGAGGTAGTACCCTGGAGGTCCCGATGAAGGACGATGACGAGGCCTCGTACGCTGGTGGCATCTCCTCCTTCTTGCGACCCCATGGCGCTCGACTGAGTTCCTCTTCCCGCCACAACCTGTAATCCTCGACGTTGTACCTTCCCATACAACGATGTGTCACCGTGCGATTATCCGGTAATCTTGTCTGCAAGGCGTAGAACCCGCTGAGCAGCTTGCGTTTGACGATAAAGGGCCCATCACCGCCGCCTTTTACGTAAACTTGGGGTACCAGAGGGAAACAGAGTTTGCTCTTCTTGTGGCTGTTGTGGAAATTTGTTAGTATGATGTTGACGAGCTTGTTTGGGGAGCTGGTGGGTGGTTGTTGGAAGGAGGAGGAACAAGCCACTTACTACTTTCCAACGGTACCAGGGGGAAGTCAAGAGATCGTAGTCGTCGCGGTGAGGGATGAAATGCCAGTGGTGATCGGAACATCTGTACACTGGTGGCGCTTCCCGTGATTCTGTATGTGGTGCCATACTCGAGCGTTGGGTCTGGGAAGATGAGATATGCAATGGATGCAGAGTCCGAAGAAGAGACTGCTTTATTGAGTGGGAGATTTAGGCTGCCAACCGAGATACGTTGAAGGGTCCTCAACATGAAACAGGTTCCCGCTAGCTGAATGATGAGGCTGCTAAATGCTTATTTATCGAAGAAACGGAGTCTAACAGGCGATAACACGAGTCAAGTGTTGAGGTAGAAGTAAGGTGTTGAATTAGAAGCAAAGTGTTGAATTAGAAGCAAAGTGTTAAAGTAGAAGCAAAGTGTTACAAAGCAAAGTGTTAAAGTAGCAACTTCGCGCTGCCTGCCCATGGTCGCATGGCCAGGATTGGTCGCCCTGCTGATTCAAGGCTGAAACTAGCCTAGCCGGGGAATAGAGGGACAATCTGACACAGGCGGCAAGCTGTGAAACTCATGTATCTTCTAGGCTAGCTGAGTCTGAGTCAAATACGAAGTGTGAAGATCAGTCCTCCCCTCTCAACACAAAATCTCCTACTCGAACCTAAGGGAGCAACATCTTGACAGATTTCAACCTCAACACCTCGCTGAGAGTTATCACATACTCTACACCTTTATTCATGATACTTGGAGAAGAGTAGCAACACTTCTGAGTCTCAACACATCTTTAGCATATCCCTTCACCATCTCGTGTCTGGCATAGTCGGCATTGACGTCTCGAAGTCGCAAAGAGAGGATGGCGGATTGTGGATACGGAGACCGGAGACACAACTCGGAAACTGTGCCTCATGGCGAGAGCAGAGACGCAGTAAGCTAATTCGTAGAGACCAAGGCTCTCACGAGAGGTTCGAAATAATCCTAGTTCAGTCGCTGACGTTTTCAAGCCTGCAGTTCCCGCCAAGAGATGTGAAAACCGAGCGCGTCGGGCTACTGAGCTTATCTCGCGAACTGCGCGACAAGATTTATGACCACCTTCTCCGCATCGAGAGATGGGACATCTTGAGGTACAAGAGAGACCTTTGTAAGCTTGATCTGTCGATTCTACGCGTCAACCAGCAACTCCATCAGGAAGCTTCCGAGATCTTTTATGAGGGAAACACTTGGGTGTGTATCACAATCGAACCAAGCCTCCTCGAAGCCCTATGCAATGAGTGGGTAGCAGGTCGGAAAGGCTTCCGTGGAGATAAACCAGTCTCGTTAGCCACTTACATCCGTACTGCCCCTGTAGCAGCTGCGACCGTGACCCTACAACGGCTCCCACAGTCCGGTCCTGGGATCAATCTGATCCATCTTCTGGTGTCCTCGTTCGCAGTACCGCGGCTCTGCAGAATTCTCACAGTTTACGCCAATGTTCGCGGGCTCGATATTCGCGTGCATCTAAATGCACTGACCGCTGGAAAGGTGAAGAGAGCTTGGCACGAGAACTTGCTGGACTCCTTCAAGGACGCCAGAGGGTTCGGCCGCGCAACGATTTCCGATGCTCAGGGGAATTCACCGCACGTCGAGCTCGCAACACTAATGATGTCGCCGTTCAAGCATTTTCAGGAAATTATTGATCGAGCCTCCGAACATCACGACCGTGCCCGTCAAAAGGAAGAGTTGGGCCGGCTTTCCGAAGCGCGCTATGGCTACCAAGGCGGCTATGATTTTACCTTGTGGTTTGACCGCTCAACTCATCAGCTGGGCTTCTCAACACGTATCCAATATGACGGGGAATTAGGCAGATCGTATATTCAATTGCGGACTAAATTGGCCTTCTCGTGCGCCTTCCTATGTATCAAGCTTGGCGATCTGGACTTGGCATATCCCATTATCGAAAGAATGTTGAGCTTACCGCCGATCGACGAGCACAATGTAGCTTAAATGGAGGCATGGTTTCTTTGTGGTCTGGCAGATCTATCGATCGGTGCTGACAACGCGGCTGCGTACTGGTTCCTGCAAACGTTGTGGAAAGAGCCGGGCCACATCGGCGCGGACGAGGCAGTTGACGATATGGAGGCAAAAGTGCGATTCTGCACTGGGCTGAGCGATCGCATAATCTTTCACAACATCTAACAGGTGTTGCAACCTTTTCGGCACCAGACACCAGGTAGTTCTGTGATGAGCCAGGATGAATACAGGCTCCTTTTCCAACGATGGTATGTTGGCAGAAGGGAGGTAGACTCTTTGGGTTATCATAGGATTGTTGAAGACTCCGAAGTTCGGAGATGGTAGAAGTTTTCGAGATCGGAGTGAAAACCTGATATCCTGTTCATCACAGTGGCGTGTATACTGCGTCGAAAATCGAAAAGACCACCTAGGGATAGACCACAAAAGTTCTGTTGCTTTCTTCCGCTGACCTTCACCTTGCGTATACTTTCGTGGCCTGGCACCTCTTCATCTTTTGTTGTCCTGACTTTCGGCTCGTAAAGCCTAAACAGTGTCAGCTCTGGAACAACAAACAGCAGAACTTGATTGAACTCTGGCTGGATCAAGCGTGGAAAGCGTCAAGGTTTCAGCCTGCCTTCCATACTCACCTCCTCTCAGCCTTGAAGGAAACTAGACAAGCATTCGTCTCAGGACTTTCACCACTCCAACTGCGGCTAGTACCTGGTCTCCTCCAAACCTACTGTCCATCCTCGTACCTTTTCCATTGCAGGTCCAAGAAAAACCTCACGCAACATAACTCTGATATATGAGTCGCGCTGTACACAATCGTTGGCGTTTGCGATATGATTGAGAATCCAGTGACAAGGGGAAACCAAGAACGTTAAAATTGTCCGACGGAATCCACCTGGCACTGGCTCCGCATCAAGCGTCCTTCCTTGCAATCTCCTTGATCAAAGTCATGACTAAGTCAACCTGATTTAGATCAGGACTATGCCCAGCATCCCACTTTCCACCCTTACACCCTTCACCGATATTCTTGATGTTCATCTCCTGCACAAACGGCGGGACCGCATGGTCTCTCTCACAAAGCAGATAAGGACACGGCACCGCGTCGTTGAAGCAATGATTGGCGATGATTTGCTCAAAGGATGCCAGCGCATGCGGCACCAATTAGGACGCGTAGAATTGAGCGTCGAGTGGTGACATATCGTTGAAGAAGACGTCCTGGGGATTTGCGGGGTTGCAGATTCGACCGTGTTTCAGGGAATTAAGATTGAGCCAGTGGAGTTTCCGAGTAAGGTATGCTAGGCAAATTCTCCATCACAAACGACGCATGCTTCCCCCTGGTCGCCCGCAGCATAGAAAGTGTCTTTTGGAATCGCTAGCGAAGTCATGGACAGTATCGCAACTACACTGCCATCATTTCCCTGCTTCTCCCTCACGGATCGTACGAAAGGCCCAGCGGCAGCACTTCCGGATATGCCGCCGTACGAATGCACGACTAAGACTACATCTCTGCCCTGTTCACCAATCACATCCTCCCAGCGAGAAGTGATCATTGCGACATCGTTAATGAGACCTCTTTGGCATTTCCAGAGGTGGGTAAGGCGAGAGGGACAGTGGGACAGGATTGCGATGAGGGTGCTGTTGCAAGGGGGGCAATGTAGATTGGGGTGTGCCAGGCGCCGGCGACGATCACGATTGTGGGTTTCGCTTTGGGAGCGTTACGGTTGCCATGTTTCATCGATTATATATAGGTCTTGAGATCAAGTGCTCAACATTCGAGAGACGTTGAAGGATAGGCGTTGTTTAGGTAGCCATTTGAAGGGATCAGAAAGAGCACTCAGCTGCAGGTCAAGTGCCTTAGTGCGGGGTCGGCCTTTGCTCAAGGGCGCCTAGCGACATCTTCATATCTAGAAATAGCGATAGAACGAGTTAGTCTTCTTTTAATAGTATGCTGCAGAGCTCATAGCGTTCTTTCAAGAGGGATTAAGAGATGACTGTAATCGCTTGACATCTTATTCGGCGTATGCGAGAATAAAGCGCAACGAGAACACAGTAGAGGATGAGGCAAATCTAGACTCTCTGCTCATATCGTGAGCCGAACTCGGCCTGTCTGGTGAGACGAAGCAGTTGCAATAAGGCATCAGACCACGCTGTTCACACAGGTTTGAAAGTGCCGCATGGTGCCCAAAAGCCATCTTAACCAGTCATCTAAGCCATGGTGATAGACAACAGCAATAGCGCTGCCAGTACTGCTGCTGAACAGGATGTCATTCGATCCAACACAAGATTCTTCGAAACGTTTTTGAAACTGAAACTCGGTGGAGAAAAACCTTGGCATCACGTGATCTCGAGCTAATAGTCCGTCTTTTGTGTCACAACTCCTCTTCCTCCTCCAAGTTTCATCAACGGCAGCCTCGGAAGTCTGCGCTCACGCCACAGCCTTTCCCTATTCTCACTTTAGGAATAGTAGCACTGGAGACTTCCCAACCAAGTTCTCGCAACCGGCACATCAATAGGCCCAAGGGATCCCAGTTGAGGTGGGACATTGAGCATTGGAGCGGATACTCGAAACCACTTGCCCGCCAAAAAAACTCATGTACGTATGGCACCCGGAGATGAGACTCGCTGTTTTCAAAGACTGACCTCGCCATAGAGCAAGATGTCTGCATTCGAGAAGCTGCCCAGAGAGGTCCGCGATCTGATCTACGAACACTGTCTCCTCTACCACGGAGAGATAATCCCATTCCCTACCAGCCACGACTACGAGAAAGAAGAGATCAAAGGAGGGTCCAAAGTCAGCGATTGCACGGCCTCTTCATCACAACAACCTCCTGTGCGGAAGGATGGTCGCGACGCTTTCCTGGGGTATCCTCATGTCAAGCGAGAAGCTTTCCAAACCGAGGACAAGCCTTGCGTCGCTCTGCTCGGTGTCAACTCTGCTATCCGTGACGAAGTGGCATGCATCCTTTTTGGCGAGAATGTTTGGCGACTCTCTCCAAGACCTTACGCGCAGGATGACAAGTATCGCTTGTGGGAGACGTATGCCAGATACTTTCGTCAGGTTGTCACCAGTTTCGACGCTCGCGATATTGATGAAACGCAACTTCTAGATATCAGCATGCAGAGTATGGAACGCGTTGATGAAGATGAAGACTCAGATCACTTTGACCAGGCAGGAACAGCCAATATCCACCAAGAACAGCTGAGCTTACTGAAGGATCCTTTCATAGCGAAGAGAAACATTCTGCGCCAAATGGATCTTAAATCTCTGTCGTTCGACTTTGCAAATCTGTTCTGTCCAAGCTGGTGCTGTCGCCGTGAGGCTCTCCAGATTTGTGTAGAATCTCTGGGACCGAGCGGGCCGTGGTATAGGCCAGAGCGAGAGCAAGGCCGCGACTTGGAGACCAAGCTAAGGACCGATGTCAAGGTTCTTGGCCTGAAGAATGACAAAGAAAAGAAGCTCTTCTGGAAAACATGGGGCTTGAAGGTGGATTGAGTAATGGACATGATGTGGCGTTAGGGTGACTGTTTATTAGACTCCAGACTTGACAAGGGACATCGAGGTTTCATGCGATCAATGTTAGCAAGGCTAAGCTAGTCTCCAACACATAGCACCATTGGTTGCTTCCAGCTTTCAACAGAGAAGGGAGAGATATCTGTCCCAGTAATGCTGCATAGATTTGCTGATAGGAGTTGATACGAGCAACTCTTGACATGTCTTCGGAGTAAATCGAACTGTTCCGGCTTGGCATCACGTGACCTGGCGCTAGTGCTCGCCCTCATGAACCTCACTTTCTGAACCCAAAACATCTACCTTGCCCCTCCATATCTCATCCACAATTCACAGCTCATTCAATAAGTCTCAAGAGGTCCACCTGTCTGGTCACATCAAATCATCACAACATAGCTACATTGCACCTGCAGCGGATCCTTGACGAGGTACAGTGTTGAGGTAGTCCCACCTCACTTGCTCAAATCTCACTGTACTAAATTGAGTTCAGCATTTCAATCCAATCACCTCAATCTCTCAATTCACCACAAGAGCAAGATGTCTGCATTCGAGAAGCTTCCAACAGAGGTTCGCGATATGATCTACGGGTACTGCCTAATCTACGACGGGGACATCATTCCTTATCCGAATATCGACGAGAGAGAACAGATTCAAGAAAGCTGGCGCAAACCAGCAAAACCGTGCATCGGACGCCTAGGCGTCGAGTGCAACCTGAAGCAAGATCTTCGTTCATGTGCGGGGATAAGGTACGCCACAGACTGGCCAAGCGTTGCCCTTCTGGGTGTCAGTAAAGGTATCCGGGAGGAAGCGGCAAGTGTCCTGTTTGGCAAGAATGTGTGGCGTTTGTCCTATGTTGAGCACTGGGAGATGGGAGAGGAGAATGATTTTTGGTTAAGCTACGCCCGCCATTTCCGTCACATCTCCAGTCACATGACATTGAATGACGCTGGCAATATGCTCTACTACATCAAGATCTCCAGAGCTGCCGGAAAGTCAAGGCAATAGAGCCATACAAAGATGAAAGAAGAAGTCCACGACAGGAGCCTTGTCTACCTAAGCAACTTAAATGGAAGTACCGGCTTTTATCTCAGATGAAAAACCTAAAGTCGTTGGTATTCAATGTCGAAAATCTATTCTGCCCTCATGGCTGCTGTCGCAAAGAAGCGCTCCGCAGGTTCTGCGAGAAAATGGCTGAATACGGACCTTGTTACAGACTGGGAGTCGATGAGAACGTGGGAAGTAGTGGGGAGGCCACGACCGACAATGTTGTCGACGTCGAGACAAAGCGCAAGGTTGTCGTCAAGGTGGTTGGCCTTGAAGACGACTCGGAGAAGGAGCTTTTTAGGAAGTATAGGAAGTACTTGGGGCTGGAAAGGGACTAAGGTCGAGATCAATGAGGAGCTCGTTGGATCTCTGCCTGGCAGTCTGTGCGAACAGATACGAACGTAGATGCTTGGTGCTGTTACAGATATGGAAATCTTGCGTTGTCGCTGGAGATCAGACGGTGGCGCTTGAGCACGATGGATCATAAACAGGTCAAGATATGAGCGTGGACCATGCAATACAGAGTCTGCCGCAATGAGAAATTGGTGGCAGATACAGTGAGCACCAAGAACTGCCATTGAAGCGAGGAGACAGCGGAGATCACAGACACGACGCACAGGAGAGTCACCATTTGCATTGGCACGAGCTATTCTAACTTACGGCTGAGATAAACACCAAATCAATAAAAAGGCTTTGAAGAGCAGTGTGATTATGCGTTCCCGTTCTTTTCTACCTCGCCGCAGCCGCGTCCCCCACCCACAATCTATTAATGCCCACCTATAAGCAGAACCATTTGAATCCTCCAAGGGCTGCGGCAGGTAATAAGGAATTTCCAAAGGCGAATATGAACTTCGCTTTGTAGACTGCTGATGACACGAACGTGGCTTTTCAAGCAGCGGCGTTTCAGACACTGAGTTGCATGACGCGTCTCAATGGGCAGAAAAATATGATGAGCCCATGTGAAAGGCGATGAAGGGCAAGAAGGCGGACCTGACGAAAATCCGCGCGGAGAGGAGGAGCGTGTTGGGACAATCAATTTTGGCTGTCCTAAGTGCAGTCAAGCGAGAGCGCTGCTTGCAAGGCGAACGGACGCCTTGCTGGAAAATGTGATGGACTTGTAGGGGCGGTTTCTGGGGAACGGCTCGGGCGCATTTTTCGGGATACTGGAACTGTGCTTCTGAAGTACTGCGACCGCTTCACGATGAGTAATAGGAAAAGTACGCTCATTAGTGACCTCTAGCCTTGCGAACGTCTGAGAGTTGTGTTTCACAGTACAACAAATGTCGACAACGCCAGCACTCTACCGCGTTGGACCGTCCGACCAGAGATCGCTGCACCGTGGTCCTTGTCAAAGCCATGCCCACCTCCTCAACATGTACAAGCCACGTCCATTTCGCGTCAAGCATGCCCTGATACTCCAGTTATTTCAAGGTCCTCCGGAGTTAGAGGTGGCGCGTAGTATAAGCCTCTTCACCATAGTCGATACACTTCTGCCTTCTTGGACCTTTAGGAGGAGTGCTCCATTATTGGTCAAATTGTTTCCATGCGGAGGTTTGGGTCGTACGGCTGCGAGTCGTCCGAGGGGGAAGACCAAAGCTGTGGGTCAAGATTTCCGAGATCTGGATGGTAGGGTTCGGTGGAAGTTCCCTTGCGGTCGGTTGGGTGGCAAGGTTGCAAGTCATCCGAGAAAGAAAACACAAGCTGCGGGTCGAGGTCTTCGATGTTTGGATGGTAAGGTTCGAAGCTGTTCGATGGTGGAGACGTTGATTGAGGCTCATTTTGCTCGTAGCCATTAAGCAGGGACATGTTCATGGTGAGGCCATCGTATCCAATGTCACTAAGTTGATAATCTCCAGACTGAAGATCTTGCATCTGATGGTCTTGCGACTCCTCGCTGATTCCTAGGTCAGATCGAGTAGCTATCAGCTGAGTGGGGGACTCTCTTACCTGACTTGCGTACTCGCACTCGCCCGTTCTGGACGAGACGGCGCACCGTTCCATGCCTCATCCCATCGTGCGCCGGTGGGATTGCCATTTGTCTCCACGCAGACTGCAAAGTGGGACTGGACATGTTCCTTCCTTCCGTAATATCCACCGCAAATAGGACACTGGTATTTGCGATTTGCGCTTGGCTCGTAGTTTCTTCGGGTTGGGGTCTCGCCTGGAGCTAGCCTCGAGGGGATCACGACGCCATTAACAGCAGCAAGGCGTTCGCGGTATTGACGTTGTCTTACGTCTCGCTGCTCTTTTGTGGTTGGAGAACGAGCGGTGCGCTTCGAAGAGGGACTGTCGGTGTTGTCACTGAATCACATCAGAAAGCGCCAGTAAAGCCAGAGATTGACATTGAAGGGCATCTCACCTCTCGTCTACATCGTTATGCTTGCGCTTTACCAGGTCAGGACGAGGCATGAAATTCAAATTATCGTCCCAGCGTGCTCCGGTGGGGTTTCCGTTCGTCTTCACACATGCCACAAAGTGTGATCGAATAAATTCCGGCCTTGTGCTGGTATGACCGCAAATCGGACATGTCTTGTCCCTAGCTCTATCCAATTTCCCGTCAGACCGAGGACGGGTTCTCAGCGCTTTCAATGGCTGTTGTCCTTCAGGGAGCTTCGAAGGTATGACTACGCCATTGACTCTTGCGAGTTGCTGCCCGAGCTTATCAGTCACGACCGGCATCTTTTTTTGGGCTGCAAGCCAGGGAAGGTGATGTCTGTTGATAAATTAGGGGGTGGATTGGAAACGAGAATCCGAGATGAAGAAGTACCCTGATCACAGCAAAGAGGGGAGTAAAATTTGAAAGTGATGTTGAAGGAAGTTAATGACAAGAGCAGCCAGAGATTGTGTATTAAGGACTTCGGAGTGTTGTTGTGTAAAGTAGGTTATTTTGTAGTGAAACGGCCCGCCAATAGATCAACCGGGAAAACGTGTATCCACCTGCCCTTTCGGTTTTCCTGATAGAGTCCAGGTAAAAGTTCGCTGCTCTTCTACTTCGCTATTGAAAGGCATGAGGAGTCTGTCGTACGGCAGCAAGATCTTAGCTTTCCTCCTAAGCTGTCACAGAGTTCGGTGTTTGCCACCAGCGGAGAGACTCTGGATTGGATCAATTCTCAGTAAGTGAGAAAAGGGTGAAACATGGTCCAACGCGTTTGTTCCTAGCGCAACGCTACGCAGAGTATCCGCCAACTCCAATCTTTGTGTTTTAAAGCACGTAAGGGTGTTCGTCGAAAGGAAGGAGGAGAACAAACGAAAGAACAAGCAAGCGAATGGGCAACCCAGATCATGTCATACCTCCCTGGGTCACGTGTGCGAGAAGACGCAATCTCGTTCCATCAGTCTTTCAGCCGTCCATTTGGCCTTGCTACAGCAAAAACCAGAATGCCAGACCAACACCCTCCTACACTCCGGCGTCACTGCCCGCTGAGCCCATCTTGAGAATGATGCTTAGGTTCAAGCATTGATGTTCCCGTTAGAGCCTATGGAAAGTCCAAATATGAGAGGCAATCTTTGGACGCTGTCCACAAAATACTTACAGTCATTTGGCAGTGCCCGTTCCAGAGCATGTTGGGCCTCGTGAGAAACGAATACCGCTTCCAGTCTTGACTCCGAACGAATAGTATACCGCCACCACAGACTGTGGGGCGCATGGACGCTCGAATATGAGGGAGGAGGGTCAGGAAGAATGTCTATGGTAGATGATGCAGGTCAGAATTGCTCGAGATCCAAAAAGAGTCTCGAAGCACACCTACTGGAGATTCGTTTCTTCTGCTCGGCGAACCGCCAGATGACAAGTAGGACAGGAGCACAAGTTGCCAACAGAGACACGAGAGCGATGATGGCAGCTATTGGCCAGGACATTGTCAAGTTCAGTCGCGCCTCTCTGACTTCTCCAGCGAGGACATATTTAGGACTGGCTATATACTCCCCCGACCCAGATTTGGGACATAGAGCCATGAGGCTTAAAATTTAGGACGGAGGATCTCTCGACCCAGATTTGGGATAGAGAGCTATAAGACTTAAGATTTGGGACGAAGAATCTCCCAACCCAGATTTGGGATATAGAGCTATGAGACTTAAAATTTGGGACGGAGAATCTCTCGACCCAAATTTGGGACTGAGAGCCCCGCGAGGCAGATTCGGGACAGAGAGAATATTGGGGCTGACTTTCCCTGTCTTTCGGAGAACAACGTAAGATGCATACAGATTTGGGTCATCTCCAATGAAAAAGGATCTTCCGGAGATCGTCATTCTGGCAGGCTTGGCGATCCGGGCCGGATGATTTCGGATTGTGTCCACAACCATTCAAAGCAGAGGGTCGATGCAAGAGCAAACACGTGACCCCAAGCAGCCGCCTATTAGATGTCTGCCCGCAGTCTGGACTTCCAAAGTATTACCTCGCCTCGCAGAAGGCTGCATCCAATTTCACCACTCAGGCGTTCGTCCACATCACCATGCGTCCACATATTTCCTTTTTCGCTCTACTCGTACCGGGGTACGATCACTCTCTGCTGACAACGCGGTGCGGCTGTGGTTTGGTAGCGCCGGCTGACAATGAAATCCTTCATTGGCCAGAACCGAAATCCGAGACCACCGGATGGGATAGATCAGACACTTAATGTTGCCGCCCACATTTGCATTCTCTTCTTTGACAATCTCAAACAGCTACTCAAAGTCCTCGTTGTGTTCATTCTGACTTAGCCTTACGTCGGACATGGCAACCAGTAACAAGGCTGATCCTGAATGGAAGAGTCACAAGGCTACAATTGAATCGCTGTATGTGAAAGATCATCTCAAACTTGAAGGCCGCGGAGGCCTCATGGACACCATGGCCAGATCCCATGGATTTGTGAAAAGGTAGAGAAGTCTGAGTCTTGGGAAAAAATCCGGTATCACTCATACTAATTTCCGTCAAGCAAATCGCAGTATGAGAGCCATTTCAAAATTTGGGGCATGCGTAAATATCGAAAAAAAGATGACTGGAGAAGCGTCGGACGGAAGATTTCAGAGAGAAAGCGGGCAGGGAAAGATAGCAGTGTTTACATCAATAATGAAGTCATTCCAAAAGCGAGAGTTCAGAGGCAAATTAGACGTCATGAGTTCACTACAACTTTCGGACAAATACTTCCAGGTATTTTCCTTCTCTTGGACAAATGAGAACCTTTTTAGCTAAAACCACTTTCTCAGCATCAAGTCCGCGAACTCCCGACGGCTTTGAGATCCGCACACCCGTAGCAGAAGACTCAACAGTCTTCTCCGAGCTGCAAGAGGCGATACCCACCTTGCCACACAGGACGGGGACAAACAACTTTCCGTTCGCTCAGTTGCAAACCTTATCCTCCTCCTTGCAGCCTTGGGAGCGGACGGATGGTTTCCCGGACTCCCAATTGCAGAACGTAACATCCTCCCTACCACCTTGGACGGAGACGGACGATTTTCGGCTCCCCCCATTGCAAAATGGAACACCTCCCCGTCCCAGATTTGACGGGACCCGATGACTTTCTATTCTCCCCAAGTGAAGACGAGACGAAACTTTCCCAACGCTGGACGTATACACAGGATCTTCCCTTCTTCCAGCTTGAAGCTGGCCTTCACGCTCAAGGCACGTCTCACAAGCTATTTATTAGAATTCCTTCTCGAAAAAAAATCGTAGCTTTAAACCCTACTACATAACGTCAGTCTGAGCTGCACTATGAGCCTTTACTAATTAGAATGCAGCCGATCTTCCACTGATCCCAACAAATGCGAAAAGACCCAGACGAGATTCCTTGGTAACATCACGATCG